CGCCGCTGGGGCGGCCCCCCCGCCATCCTGCAGCGCGGAGGAGGAGAAGGAGGCGGAGGAGGAGGAGGAGGAGGAGGAGGAGGAGGAGGAGGAGCAGAGGAGGAGGAGGAGGAGGGAGGAGGGGAGGAGGAGGAGGAGGAGGAGGAGGAGGAGGAGGAGGAGGAGGAGGAGAGGAGGAGGAGGAGGAGGAGGAGGAGGAGGAGAGGAGGAGGAGGAGGAGGAGGAGGAGGAGAGGAGGAGGAGGAGGAGGAGGAGGAGGAGGAGGGGGAGGGGAGGAGGAGGAGGAGGAGGAGGAGGAGGAGGAGGAGAGGAGGAGGGAGGAGGAGGAGGAGGAGGAGGAGGAGGAGGAGGAGGAGGAGGAGGAGGAGGAGGAATGGAGGAGGAGGAGAACGACGACGACGACGACGACGACGACGCCGCCGTCCTGCAGCACGGCCGCGCGGCTCGCCGCCGCGGGCGGCTGCGGCACCGCCGCGGAGGGCCCCGGCCGCACGTGCTGGGGCGACGAGCGCTGGCAGGCCTGGCGCTTTGTAGGGGAAAGGAGGAGGAGGAGGAGGAATGAATGACTGAAAAGACCCGCAGGGGAGTGCACAGCACTATGAATTAAGCGAGGCTTAATTGATCAATACTGAAACTTAAAGCGACTCACGATAGGGAACTAGCTGCCTTAGCCTGTTCCTTTACGCGAATCCTTTCAACGAGAGCTGACATACGCTGCTCATAAGAGGGGGCCGACAGGGAGCCCGAGTGTGAGGTCCTGACAACGGTTGGAGGCTCGGGCTCAGGAGGGTCGGCGGACAGGCCAAGCCTTGAAAGCGGAACCACGCGATCAATGGCGGCCCGAACGCGAGGGTTCGGACAGTTACCCTTCCTGAACTCGGCCAAAATCTCCAACCCTTTACGAGACGGGACCCCACACGGCTGCCCGAGCTTTAAACCACGGCCCTGAGACCAGCCTCCACAGCGTATGCAGAGGATCTGCTCCTTGGACGAGCGCCGACACGACACCGAACCACCAGCTTTCGAGGGCGGTCCAGCCATGGCGACAAGCTTATGGCCCTTGGGATCACGGAGCAGACCTCGGAGGAAAGGCGGCAGCCCTGGGCAACCATCCATCGGGACGGAATCGTGACTGCCTTCGGCAACTCGGAAACACTTTCTGCACTGGAAGCCGAGGTCATTCTTTTGCCAATCATGCCACGACACTTGTCGCCGTGATCTCGGTGCACCGAAGACATGCGGCCTTGCCCATCGCACCTCGTGCTCAAAAAGAGGGAGCACCTGTGCAGCAGGCTTGATGAAGTACCCTGCTCGCTGGCCTGCAAGATACAACTCGCTGCTGAAATCTGGCCTCGGAGCTGGGTTCATATTCGGACCATCTTTTGCATAGCGGTCCGCAGCAGCATTCGCAACAGCAGAAATTGTCTCTTCACCCTCAAGGCCCTGGATCGTTTCTTCATCGCGATGAGCCTTGAGGTGCCGAATTGTCTGAATCAGAACGGTGCCCTCTAGCTGGTGTGCAAAAGCACGCACCCCTGCAAACTTATTGGAAAGAGAGAGCTGATCCTGAACATTCTTTTGGCAAAGCCTGATCGCCGCCTGACAGTCAGCACCTAGCACCGCAGGGCGCGTGGCGATCTGGCCACCGATGGCTATGCCACAGTGCTCGGCCATAGCTGGGGTTTGCGGCAGAACGCCTGGAACAATGCCTTTGACAATCGCAACTGGGTCCTCTCCCTCGTCAGGGCACACTGCGACTGCCCAGGCTGCTCTCTGCAACGGTCGAATCCAAGGCTTCGTGCTCGAACCGTCCGAGGCGAGACGCAAGGGAGCCTGGGAAGTGAGATCCGCAATCATCTCAGGTTCCATGTCAAGCAAATTGCCATTGCCGTCATAGAGAAACACCTCACTCGACACAGAAGGGCATGGCAACTCACTATCTTCGTATACGTGCACCCCTCTGGTGAAAATGGGGTTGTCAGGATTCTCACGCGCAGCGTGGAGGAATTCATCAGGGACCTCAGACGCCACACGTGCATCGACAACACGCTGGAGCTGGCACGTATAAAGCCTATGGTGGACTGTGTCTGGTTCTCCACACCCACACAACCCGTCACACAAGTACCCCGCACGCATCGCACGATCATTGGTCCACAGTCCACCGCATGCGCAGCTCTTGATGAGGTATTTATGGAAACGGTTAAACTTCCGAGCTTTTGGCCCCACAGCGTCCCGAATAAGGTCGAGGGTGGCCCTGGTCCCAGGAGCATAACCAAGCTTACGGGAAAATTCAAACTCACGCTCTCTTTGCAAGCCAGCCTCCAACTGGTCTGCTAAGAGGGCTGGAGGGGTGACAGACCGATCTATCTGCAGACCGTTGTGGTCGATCCAGGATAGCGGGCCTTCAGCACGCCACCCCGCACGCCTTAAACTCAAAACAGCCCGAGAGATAGGCCCATGTGACTTGTTCCACGAGGGGCACTCTAAGGGCTTACTCAACTCCCAGAGCTTCAAAAGCTCAGCGTGTGAGACCAAAGACAGATCAGGACGCCGCGAAGCGGTCCATATCATCCTACACCATTGGATCGCTGGGGCCAGGGCAAATCGAGCACTACCGTCCCCCAGCAAAACACCCTTAGCCGTAAGCGAAACTCCACCATGAGTAGGCCCTTCATGGCGGGCCATCATTCTCTTCAAGCTCAGCCACTCCGAGGCCGTGAGACCCAAGACTTCAGCCCCAAAACCAGCAGCAGGGGCCACGCCTTGCTTCGAGATCTTCTTAAAGGGGGTCTCCTTGGGTCCCTTAAATCGCCTTCGGATGGCCCGAACTTTGCGAATTCGCTTTTTCATCTGCGCTATCCTACCCTTCTGCTTCAGACGAGCTCGCTGTGCACACCGTCGAGCGCCTGCTGCCTCATCCACGCCAAGGTACGTCACACTCGGCTTGCACACTGACTGGGGCAGCTCGAGGGCAACACATACATCACGACCGAGCTCTCTGTGTGTGGACTAACGGATGATCCCCGAAGGGAATCCGGGAGGAGGAGGAGGAGGAGGAGGAGGAGGAGCAAGAGGAGGAGGAGGAGGAGGAGGGGCGACGAGCGCTGGCACGCCTGGCGTCTTTGTTGGGGGAAGGCGGCTCGCTAGTTCGTGCCGTAGGCTGTGGCAGCCCATGGGCGTGCATACTTGAACGGGCGAAGAACGGTATAAAATATAAACTTTTTCGCCGTCGGGGGCGAACAAATTTATGTTATACCGTTCTTCGCCCGTTAAATACTGGCATGCTCACAGATCAAGTACCAAAGCAAGCATGACGCACTTTGTGGCGCCACATGGAGGCATCACTCACTGCGTCGGGAAGGCGGGGGACGTCCGAGCCCTACACGCACCGGCCACCAACCAAAGTGGCCACGGAGATAGTTACCCTGACATGATCGCGTCGTACATTTTTCCGTTATTTTCAGCCCCTGGGGGCCCTCGCAGTGCCCGGGGACCGTCAAAAACGATTGAAGATGAAAAACTGGCCCCGGGGACAAGGTCTCGACTTCGGGGGGCGCCGTCCTGAAAAAATCAGGGCGTCGCATGTCTGGGGACCGCAAGCATGGATTAGCGATCCATGGATTTGGCGCGCGGTCGCCAAATCCATGGGTCGGGGGAGGTGCCCTCCCCAAGATACGGCCGGTGCCGCATCGCTCGGCGGCGGAAATCCGTGATTCTCTATGGAAACGGGACCCGTCGCCAGTCCACGCCCCCTTGATCCATTTTTGCGATCGCCTGATACGTAAGAAGGACCCTGACTAAGATTGACCCTTGTTGCGCGGCGTTTTGTTGCCGCACTCTCTGACAACCAAAGCAGTGGGTTACCAGACGGCGAAGCCATCGACACGCCAAACGCGCGCCAACCTCGGGCCGCGCCAAACGTGCGCTGAGCACGCAAACGCCGGTACACTGGAGACGCCAGTTACGCTCCATAGGAAGGGCAAACGTGTGCCAATTCATCCATAATGAGTGTGAGGGTGGGGGTGTGCTGTGTCTGTGTGCGACTTCTGTCAATTGCAAGTCCAGCCAACTGCAATGACAAACACAAGCGTGCTTCCACGACCGCGTCACTCGAAAATATGCCACTGCGGTAGAAGCGTTCATGGGACTTGCACCAAGCCCGTCAATCTGAGGCAAGCTAATTCTTTTCTGGCACTTCAGACTGGGCTCAGCTGCGGCCGCGTGGTCGTCAAAGCCCAGAATCCCGCCCACAGGGCAGCCTGCAAATTTCAGGCTGCGGGCGAACAGGTTCAGGTAGACGATGCCACTCTTAGTGTGGCTCTGCACCACCTTCAGCTCCACCTAGCCGTACCGCAGCCAACGCCAGGACTCCTTCTCAGCGACATGGCCGGCGCTGAAGGCGCGGCGCTGAGAGCCGACCCATCGTCCCGTCAGGTTCACCGACAGGAAGTACATGTCAGCGCATGTCACGCCCATCTGCCGCGCCTCCGCATCGACGCTCAGCAAGGCGGCCCCGCGCTTGCCACCCTGGGGAATCCGCACCAGCGTGTGCCAGCCCTCCTTGCGGAGGTCGAACTGCTGCCCGAACACGTTGGCGAGGTGAGGGTCCCCGGTCGCCTGAGCCGACCCACCGACCGCACCGGCTGGCGTCGGGTCCGGGCGTCGGGTTCGGCGTCGGGTTCGGCGTCGGGCTCGGCGTCGGGCTCGGCAACGGGACGGGGAGACCGTCAGTGCCGCCGTCGGTGCACTGAGACCACTTCCGGCAGCCACAGACGCAATCTCCGATGCGGTCAGCGCCCCTTGGTACACCTTCACTGACTGGACGTCGCCGTCAAACGAGAAACGGGTGTCTTCTGACCCGAACACGCACCCGGTGGAAGCAGTGGAGAGAGGGACATTGAAGTGAGCCCCTGATGAGAATAACGCTCCATTGAAGTACAGGTAATGGGTAGTCCCGTCGTACACATGACCAAATTAGTACCACGTGTCGCTGTCAACGGTCAGAATCTGCGAGCTTTTTTTCCCCCCGCGTCACTGTAACAACCGCACCAGGTGTGACAAGTGATCCCCGTTGGCGAAGTACCATGTTCTTCGAACCAACGACCGTGTGCGAAAGTGCCCCCGCAAGAGCCCCAAGGCGTCCCGCACTCGAACACGATGTACGAATCTCTCTGGCTGGTCTTGAAAAACCCACGACGGTGCGAGCAACGTTGCCACAGATGAAGGGTGGTACCTGTGATGTCGACCGTGTCCCTGTTCAAGGTCACGGTGGTGCCTGTCGGTTGCTCGTATAGCAGCGTCGGTGTTTGCACTCTTGGGAAAGAAGTGCTGGCGACGTCGCTACTTGACATCTTGTTCTCCGTCAGTCCCACAGGAGTTACTTGGACAGAGTGCACTCTGGCAAGCACAGGTAAGCAAAATAAGACACAATGTGTCGCCACCACAGATAGGCCTCGCCATTGCTGTGACAGCTGCGTGAGGAAGGTACGGCACCGAAACTGTGTCGTTGCGTTGAATAGTTCTCAGGATGGCTTGCGAGGTACGCGCTTGAGCCCCCCTGGCTACGGACCCTTGGTGCGCGGCGTTTTGGGGGCCACAGGGTGGCAAAACACAAGCGCGCAAGACGCCATCGCCGCCTCGCGTTCGGCCATCGGGGACCCCAATGGACCCGCACCAGAAGTCCCTCCAGCGATGGGTCACTCTCACGTGTAATCGATCCCTACTGGTGGCCCCCCCCTGGCAAGATCAGTCCACATCGAATCAGAAAGCGGGGTCGAATCGAAACGTGCATCGGATCGGGCTGTCTGAGCACAAAGTCGAAAACGAATCAGACCGGCCGCGCCAGGATGCGCAACATCGCCATGCAAACATCGCACCGGGCCGTCCGAATCTCGGAATCTGCTCGCATGGGGTCCGCCAGATTCGCTTCCGAATCGGACGGATCGGATCGAGATGGGCCCCGCATCCCAGACCCCCGACGCAATATATTGTTCACTGAGTGGGCCCCTAAAGGTCTCGACCCACTCACTGGGACCGGCGTTTTCGTACTGGCCAACTCTGGGTTGACGGTCCCGCGGCCCAACGAGAGAGGGTGCCGACATCCGCTCGGCTTCGGCGCCTGCATTTCTGCCCTCTCTTTCCTACAGCCGCGATAGGTGCCGGCATCCGAACCCCACCCCCGCCAATCATCGATTCCCCTGAATCCATGGGGGGCGGGGGTAGGGCTCGGATCAGGCCGCGTGCTCGACGACTGCCGCACGCTACCCCCCCCGCCCACCGAGTTGCAAGAATCGTTGATCGGCGAGGGTAGGGTTCGGATTTCGCCGCCGAGGGAGGGGGTGGAGGGGGCGATGCGAGGCGGAGAGTCTTGCAGGCGCTGACCGGCGCGGTTTCTGTGGGTTCGGCACGCGGCGGCCAGAACAACATGGCACTCCTGCCCACGACGCGTCTGGCCCCCACCGGCCAGCACTGCCGTACGGGGCTGCCTCTGCGACGCTCGCATTCAACCTGCCGTACGCAACACACTGGCGGAGTTCGCAGCCATCCTTCGGGTGTGCGTGCCCCGAGATGGCAGACTCGGGACTATCCACCGCCTGGGGAACCGATGTCCAGGGACCCAGGCGGGCGGCGGATGTGGATACGGCTTGGCCCCAGAGGGCCCGAATCGATCCGTCCCAACCGCATGCCGACGTACCTGAAGACCGATACACAGGGCGGCGCTGAGGGATACATCCCCGCCTCGGAGCCCAGACTTGAGTCAGGCCTGTCCCCCGACAGGGGGATTTTCGACGAAGAATAAAACATACCCCACAAATGCCCCAAAAAAGTCAAAAAACGACGACGACGACGACCACGGACGACGAAACGAAATTAACACGCCACTCTCGTGTTGAATTCTGTCCTTCGGCTCCTGGTGCCGACGACAACGACAAGGACGACGCGTCGTCGTCGCGACGACGGGTGCGACGACGACGACGACGGGGACGACGGACGACGACGACGACGACGACGACGACGACAGGAGGACAGAATTTAACACGCCACTCTCGTGTCATATTCTGTCCTCGGGGTCCTTGTGCCGACGACGCGGACGACGACGACAACACGAGGACAGAATGAAACACGCAACTCTCGTGTTAAATTCTATCCTGGGGGTCCTCGTGCCGACGCCGACGACGACGACGACGACGCCGACACGAGGACAGAATTTAACACGCCACTCTCGTGGTAAATTCTGTCCTGGAGGCCGCGGTGCCGACGGCAACGACAAGGACGACGACAACGACGACGGGTGCGACGTTGACGACGTCGACGTCGACGCCGACGCCGACGACGACACGATGACAGAATTTAACACGCCACTCTGGTGTTAAATTCTGTCCTTGGGGTCCTCCTCCCCGCCCTCTCCCCCCCGTTTCCCTCGAGAGCCGATGCCTCCAGAATCGGCGGCACAGGCCGTAAGGCCAGCGCAATACCCCACAAATGCCCCCCAAAAAATCAAAAAATACTACAAAAATAGTCCCCAGACTATTTTGGGACTATTTTTGGACTATTGTTGGGGTATTTTTTATTTTTCGTCGGACCCCCCCCCTGTATGGGGGACAGGCCCGACTTAAGCCCAGCCCTCCGCTGTCGTGGAGCAACCAAGACGGACTTGCTCGACGAGGGGCTCGGCCCCAGGGACCCCTGACCCGGCCCCAGGGCCGTGGAGAAGATCCCTCGGGCAGGGGCGCCGGCACTCGGGAAGAGGTCGGGACGTTGAAGCCCCGTGCAAGATGAACGCTCCTCCTCCTCCTCCTCCTCCTCCTCCTCCTCCTCCTCCTCCTCCTCCTCCATCCTCCTCCCTCCTCCTCCTCCTCCTCCTCCTCCTCCTCCTCCTCCTCCTCCTCCTCCTCCTCCTCCTCCTCCTCCTCCTCCTCCTCCTCCTCCTCCTCCTCCTCCTCCTCCTCCTCCTCCCTCCTCCTCCTCCCTCCTCCTCCTCCTACCCTCCTCCTCCTCCTCCTCCTCCTCCTCCTCCTCCTCCTCCTCCTCCTCCTCCTCCTCCTCCTCCTCCTCCTCCTCCTCCTCCTCCTCCTCCTCCTCCTCCTCCTCCTCCTCCTCCTCGGGGAGGCATCGCATCTGGCGACGAACGCTGGCACGCCTGGCGTCCAGGGGACAACTCACAGATCAGACGATTGTGTTTTCCAGGCCGGGCGTGTCGCCTCGATTTCGACCCCTGGGGCCGGCTACTCTGCCTCTGGACCACTGGACCATCCACAACGATCCGTGGAGATCATTACCGCCTGGAAGCGGATCGGGACCTCCTGAGGCCGCGCATGGAACAAATCACATGATTGGACACGTGGATCATTCTGGAAATCCGGACGAAATCATGGAGAACGATTCAGATACTAGCCAGCGTGGCCCCTAAACACAGGGACGGACATGGAAAGAGGCAGGACTGGCGCGACACAGGCCGTTCGGAAGATGTAGGCAAAAGGGCTTGCAACACGAAGCCTGTGAAAGCATGTTGGGCTTCGGCCCGCGGGTGGTTGAACCAGGAACCCATAAACTGCTCAGGTGTTAGAAGACGTGCTTCAAGTACATCGGGACCTGCGAGACCAAAGCTGCCTACCTCCAACGAGGGTGTCGCAGGAGGGAGCCACGTGGGAGCAGGAGACAGAGCATGGCAGGGGATCAGGGGAGGGGGAGAGGGGGGGGGAAGACGGAGCGAGGGGGGAGGGGAGGGTAACCAACAGGAGGGGGAGGGGGAGGAGGAAACGGCGAGGAGGAATGAGGACAAAGCGGCAGCACCACAGTGAGCCAAGTAGGCATCACTGCTGCTGCAATGCGCACTCTCGCCCCAACCGGCAGCGCATGACTATACACGAGCGCCCATCTATAGGGAGCGCCTGCTGCGAAGACAGGAGCAAGTGGGCTTGCATGGTAGGACACGTTCCGATCCTACAATGAGCGCTGCAATCCTCCCAATGTGTCCGCCGACACTGCTTGCTAGAGATATAAAAAACGGCGTGTTAGATGTTTGGCTGTACAATTCCCCCTTTTCCCAGCGTCCCCCACAAGATGGCCCCGAAGGCTGCACCAAACAGGCCCCCAACACCCTTCAAAAGGATCCCACGGGCCGCCCCCGAGACCTCCAAGAGGTCTCCAATAAGCTCCACACCAGACGCAGAGGATGGGGAATACGAATCACGGATGTAGCACGGCAGGAAGTGGCATAACACATACGACATCGGGAGCATCAGATCTGCTCGTCTGGGCACCGGCGGAATGGCGAGTCCCTCTTGAATGAGAACTTGTCGGGTAACATACAATGCGCAAAGCGTTTGAGGGCAGGCTATTTTGCATTCATGCCACTGGCATGTCACTTGAATGCGAATTCTGCGCATCTGCGCAGCACTGAAGCGGCATGGTGATTTCTGACAGGAGCCGTCATCGCTGGGCCCGTGCCAACGGTGACCACATACACTCGACCAGGAAAGTCAGGATGCGCAGTAAAGATGCGCGGTAAGGATGCAAAGGCCTCGGAACGCCATGTTGACGTTTTCCGTGCGGAGCGCAGCAGAATGCCGAAGAAAGCCGAATACCGGAGGGGCAAAGAAGCGAGGATACCCTTGGAAAGTTGTCCCATCCTTACTATCATGGTTGACTGTACGTCCGAACATGGCTCGCGATGCATTCCCAGGCGACAGCCTTAGCCCCGCACCGAGCCGCAGTCAAAGGACCACCTGCACATCGGAAGAGCCGAGGTGCCGACGGCGACGCGCATCCGTGCGCGTGGCCGCTCTCTGTGAGTCCACTGCGCGCGGCCGTTCCGCATCCAAGCTTCCGTTGCATGGCGGCAGCGTGGAACGGTGCCTCCAGGAAGGCCAACCAAACAACTGGCTGACGCCACCCCGTACAAAGGAGGGCAAAGCTGCACCTCCGAAGCATGTGCTAGTATGAAGGGGAACTGGAACACACAAATAAATACACACAAATAAACATATCCCCCGTATTTTCCCATATGTTCTGGGTTCCTGTCTTCCCCCCCACTGCCAATATTTTCCTATATTTTTGGGGAATCGCCGATTAATTGTGTCTGTGTGTTTTTTCCCCTCCTGATAGTATGCGAGGACAGGGACAGGGAAAACAGAAGCCTCGCAAATGGCATCGGAGTAGACAAACATCGGAGGATCGCCCCGCATCGCCGAAGCATCGCCGACGTGGGCGACGCGTTGGCCGCGCCGGCGTGGGAAAACACGGGCGCCGCATGGAGCCGCAGCGCCGATGCATGGGCGACGCGGCGCGATCCCCCAACCCCATCTTCTCGAACCCCATCTAGGAGGAGGTCTAGATATTTACCAGCCTC